TATGTAGATCAGAATTCTCCCACCTCCTGACTGCAGCCACAATATTGACAGGTTGCTAAGAGTTCCTCGAGGGCTGGAGCCCATCCCAGGGAAAGAGGAAAGCTGTATGGCTTGGCCTTGCCAGACCCACGGAGGCGCATCGCTGACCTCTGTCTTGCTGTGGCAAGAAGCCCAGACTTGTTATATAAAAGATCTGGCCTGCAGCTGGGGCTTGAATAAAAACACACAGCCTAGAGCCTATGCCTCTAAATCCGGCCAGGGAACATCAGAGGCCAACCCTGCCTTGAGTTTACAAAGGAAATGCTATCTGAGGAGTGGGATTGTGACTTCCTAGAAGGCTGGTAGCAGGAAATGACAGAGACAGAGATAGATGGGCTACACAAAAGCCTGCCATCTGACAAAGGTAGATGCATTCATGAGCTTACATGCTCAAAGCAACCTCAAGTCCTGCTCCTCCAGGAAGTCCTCCTTGACTAGATATATTATTTGAACTGAGCACTCTCCATAAAAGAGAAAGAGGTGTGTGCTTCCAGGCCTGTGAGGATAAAGCCTGATCTATCCCACTTGCTCTTCCCTAAGAATAAAGAGAACAACAATGCCCGGGGCTCCTGGCAACTAGGCCTACTCCGCTATCTGGAGTGTATTCTCCCTCCCATTCTATTCATAGATCTAAAGAAGGCCATCATTTTAAGTGTAGCAAATTCTTGTTGGTTCAAGGTGGGGTATTCCCATGAGAATTCCCCTCCTCTAAACATTGCCAGACATTTGGCCCCATCTTTTCCCTTGGCTGTCTGTTCACAGGGCTTCACAGAATTGGAATCTAGACTCACAGAGGCCAAATCTTGTCCTCATTTCCTTAACCTTCATTCCAACCTGCCAAGAACAGTACTGGGCATTCAAACATTCACTAACAACATTTGAAAATGGGTCTCATATTAATAAAAAAAAAAAAAAAAGAAATCAACATAATGTCCCCAAAAGAGGAGGTAAAGTGAACTGTACTGAGCACTTTCACTTGTCATTTGGTCACCATGCCACCAACAAAGTAGGCAGAGCAGGCACACTCCACCATGTTTGCAAAAGAAGAGCTGACTTGCCCAATATCACCCAGAGGTGAAGGGCTGACTCTGAGCCTAATGTCCTTTCCATCCTCTTTCCATTGATCTAGGAACAACTCAATTGCTCTGAAGTTTAACAGGAATGAATGGGTTTAAACTGCATTTAAACAGTGGCTCACACCTGTAATCCTAGCACTGAGAGGCAGAGGCAGATGGATAGCTTGAGCTCATGAGTTGAGAGCAGCCTGAGCAAAAAGCAAGACCCCGTCCCTACTAAAAATAGAAAAACTAAGGCAAGAAGATCGTTTGAGCCCAAGAGTTGGAGGTTGCTTTGAGCTACGATGCCAGAGCACTCTACCCAGGGCGACAGATTGAGACTCTGTCTCAAAACAAAATAAAACAAGAGAGGATTTTTTTTTTTTTTTT